TGTGATGATATTAAGAGTATGGTTGGGAAATCCCAACCCGTATTCGATTCCCCTCAAGCGGTAGCGCTTTTTAAGTAGGGGTCCCAATAAGTGCGAGTTAGGAGTTTATGTAGGAGTGGGTGCCTCTTCCAGGTCAATTCCAGGTTAGTCGAGAGATTAGTTACGCCGCCAAACACCTCACAAGCTGAGGTAGCAGTCGGTAGATACTCCCATTCCAAAAAAAAAAATTAAGAACATGAAATCTTAGGATCATCATCATTATTATTCTTAGCCCAAAATTTTTTTGGTCAAATTTACTAATCCTTCTTCTCCAGTGTCTCGATTTATTTTGATAGTGTTGCACGTAATGTTAACTATCAATAAAAATAAAAATTGGCACAAGCTATTCCCGTAATGACAAGGATACAAAGGATATTTATAGCAAAATATAAAAGAGTTCAGAAGAAAATATAATCAAATGACAACTACGATGCATTTCTAATTAAAAAAAAATGTAAATTTACCTTCCATTAATGCATCACAAACTTCTTCTACTTTCACATTATGTGCCTTTAAAGAGATGGCCAAATTCTGTGATTTCTTCTGCTCAAGAATCTGTATGCGTTGACCAGAAAAATAATTTCCAAAATCCCTTTTAGAATCATTCCTGCTCTTATCAGCAGCATTGTACCCAAACAAACTTTCTATCATCTCCTCATTAAACTTATAAAATTAACAAAAAATCTACTACTTCAAGATTGAAAACAAATTTTATAGGGCTGAGTAACTTGAAAAGGAAGACATTAAACGCTATTTGTAATGAGGCTTACTGGAATGATCCAGCTTTAAGCTGATGCTAGACCATGAATTGATTAGGGTTGGCCATGACCTTATCCCAGAAGAATGGCTTCAGCTTGGTCTTGGCACTGTCAGTATCAGCATTTTCTTTTGAAGAATCATTTTGCTGAAAATAGAAATTGTAGATTCAACATCTCATAGATCATACCATGATTTTAGAGTTGGAAGAACAACAAAGCATATACATACTAGAGAAGTCACTAAGGCTTAAGGACAAATTGGTCTCTCATCCTTTTGCCCATTAACAATCTGATACTTGCTTCCAGCATATTTATTACAGCAATAAAAGCAGAATGCAGCAAGTGTAAAAGTATGTGCTTCAGTTACAACCACTGCAATAATAATTGTTTGAAAGCTGTTGCTTGCAGCAGAAAGATGAGGTATTGGATGAACTTCGGCGGGCACAAGGAAGTCGTCTAATGATGAAGTTGGAGAAAAATCCCCATGATCATCTTCAGGCAAGGGGGGCTCATTGGGAGGTAATGAGAGAACAGGAGCAAGCCATTTAAATACGGTAGCTGGGGTTGGGGCTGGAGGTAGAGCTGTGCTTCCAGTTTGGATTTGATGAGTTGGTCTTAGAGTTGGAGCTGGAGATGGGACAGAGGGCCTTCTTGAAAGAGGATCTTGCTCGAGCATTCTGGAAAATGTGTAGCAGGCCTGTGCATTAGGCTGATATCTGGAAAAACAGGAACGTTATTTTTCTTGATCAAACAGTCAATAAGAGAGCGCTTCATGTTAGGGGTAAGGTGAGTGAGGGTCGCTTGCATGTCTTTCCATAGATGTTTAGTGGAAGAATCCATAATGCTATCTATTATTAGCAAATCTAAAGCAATCATAACTGATTTTGTTCCCAACAAATCAAGCATGCAATTTGACCATACATGTTCCATCTGTAATTCTGCATTCATAGGATCTTTTCAAAAACTATAGACAATATAACCGATTGATTAGAGAAGTTAAATTTAAAGAAGCGTCGGATTCTGCTAGTAAGATTTAGACTTCTTAAAGCAGTTTTTTAGTATTAAAATTTTAATTTTTAAACTAAAAAACTATTTTAAAAAGCAGTAAGAAAGCCGTCCCAAACGAAACCTCAGTTGTTTCAAAGCAGTTTCAGGAGACATGCATCCAACAATTTAATATAACCTCTTGGACAATTACAAAGAGAATATATCACTACAGTTAGGGATGTCAATTTTTGACACGACCCGAAACCCGACCCGAACCCGACCCGAAAAAATCCGGGTTCGGGTCAACCCGAACCTGAAACGGGTCAGGTTCGTGTTGAACAAATCAACCCGTTTTAAAAATCAGGTCGGGTTCAGGTTGACCCAGTAACCCAAAATTGACCTTAAAGTGACTCGAAGGTGACACGAAAACTCATATTTGACCCGAAAACCCGAGATTGACCCGTTTTTTATTCGATTTTAACCCGAAAATCGAATATTGACCCGATTTTGACCCAAAAATTAACAATTTTAGGTCAACTTCAGGTCATTCGTGTCGGGTCGGGTTCGGGTCTGGAAACTTGACCCAATTTTAAAAACGGGTCGGGTTCGGGTTGACCCCAACAGTGCCGGGTCAATTCACCGCTACTTGACAGTTGCGTAATAGTGATGTCGCTCTTAGTTTGAATGATATCATTCTTTACTCCTTGAATGAACTTTTCCTATGGTATTGTGTATTTTGATTTTTTTTTTGCAGGTTGAACGACTCAAATTTGACTTCTCATGGAAGGCACAAATCCTCTCAACCAGTGGCAGAGCTAGAAATTTTATTCAGGGGAGGCCTAAATTAAAATAGTTATGTTTGTCGTCTCATTACCGGTATCAAGAGAGCTATAAGATTAAAATAAAAAAAAGCAAATAACATGCCCTTAGAGCTTAGAAGACATAAATATATGCCATGTGTAGGGGTGCAATCCAGTCAAGCCGGCTCGCGAGCTGGCTCGGGCTCGTCTAGTTAACGGGCTCGACGAGTCGAGCTTGAACACGAGTTCTAGCTCGACGGCTAATCAAGCTTGAGCTCGAACACTCGACTATTCGACTCGATAGCTCGTTGAGTAGCTTAAACACGAGAGCAGGAGCGGACTTCGCCGTAACAGCGGGTCACGGCAGCAGGCTTCGCCGCAAGAGTGGGATAGGGCTTTGCTGCGAAAGGGGGTCGGGCTTTGGGCTTCGCCATGAGAGCGGGTCGTGGCAGCGGGTTGTTGTTTTTGTTGGTTGCAATGCCTGATAAACTGTAAAAGAAAAAAAATAAATAAAATAAAAAGAAGCATGTTCCCAAACTGGAGAATGTTTTTTTTCGTAATTCAGGACTAATTGTTTATGAAGTTATTTTTTGACCTTGCATCTCTTAATACCTTACCCTATTTTTTTTGGTGACCTTACAGTATGCTCCCTATGTAGAAGATACAGTTCTTGGTATTGTTGTAGATGCCAAAGCAGATGTAAGCATTTCTTGTGCACAAATACTAGCAGATATTTTACATTAATTTTTCTTGCCTTATGAACTTCTGTATATTTCCTCCATCTGTGCCTTCTTATACTCGACCTGTTAATATTATTCTTGACATGGATATGCTGTTTTATGTTGAGCAATCAATTTTGTTACATTATATAACTGTAAATGCAAAAAAAACTTGGAAAACTGCTACCTTGCATATGCTATATCTGATTTGGCGCGATTTAATCCAGATTCTACTGGCTTGTATTGTTGTCTTGGTTTCATTAATCATTTGGATGCCTTTGTGGATGCTAAATCCCTAATTTATGAATTATATCGTTCTGAGCAATAAGATAAATTATTACTACTAAAATTTTTTCTATCGTTGCCATTTTCTTTTTTGTTTTTCCATGTTATAAGGTTGTTGCCCATTAGGTGATTTCATGATTTATTTTTGAGGTTTCAGAACTTTCTAGTAGACATAAAAGGTCCTACATTAGCTTTTTTGCCTGTACTTGAATTTGAAGGAGGGACAAGGAGAAATATACCAAAATTTGAGGTATCACTGTCTTGTACTTTTGTGCTATAATGCTTCCTTTTAGTTTTTCTCCCTTGTTAAAATAAGTTTTTGTTCATCTCTGTTTTGAGCAAATCCATCTTTTTTTGGATATAACATTTGAGTTTGTTTATGCAGTGTTACTATTTGTGTCACATAAGACATAGGCCATTTGATGACATTGTTAGGAGAGTACATGTATTAGATTTGGTCTATATTAAAAAAGGTAGAGGCAGACGTAAAAATATTTGGTTATAATATATTAAAAATGGTTTTTTTTATTAGATTTAAATGTGAATTTGACTCTTAATAGAATAACAATAGAGAAAAAGGATATCAAGGTTTTCTAACATACTATATTAGTAATACTAGGGTTTTAGCGAACTTAGACATGGACACCGAGGTTTTAAGAAACCCGGGCATGTATCATGTATGCAAAGTTATTTGTTATTGTTTACAAAATAGGTGAATTATTGTCCCCTTATAATGTTTCTGATTATTTTCCTTTTTCATAAAATGCCAAACTGTAGGGAGATTTATCTATATTAATGTTGACCTCTGTATAAGAAATCAAAAGAGAACGAGAGAGATCGGGAATACCTCATATCCCGCTAAAAGCTCCCGCAAATACCGCAAGAAATCCCATCGATTCGGCGCTGTTTGAGTCTCATCCCGCGATTTAAGTGTAGAACCGGCCTCGATCGCAGCCCTTCGACGCCTTTAAAAGCCAACCGAACGAAGCCATCATGTTCCCCATTCGCTACCCTCTCCACTGCCAAAGCTCTCTCCACGCGAAATCCCTCAGCCGTCCCGACCTCCTCCGATCTCCATCCAGCCCCGATTTTCTATCAAGTAAAAAAAAAAAACTCATCTGCACTTATTTCATAATCGTTCAAATATTTAAAATATATTACATTCATTTTACATTATCTTCCATTATACTCTATTCTTTTTTTATCTAACTAAAAAAACAAATGAATAAATCATTTAAAAGTTTTAACATCATAATAAAGCCCAAAATAAATACTTTTCTGAAAACAAATTAACCCAAAATAAGGACTAATTTCATTCAATCGTCTTTCTATAGCACTGTCAATTATTATTGCGAAGATTCGTCTGCTAATAGTTTATGCACTCAAAAACTCATGGTGCGCATAAGCAGATAAAAAAATTTAAATTGCATTTTCAAATATAAACTAATTTTTAAATATAAATTAATTCTCAATACAACGGCTTTTAAGATCCACACTAACAAAAAAAAATGACCAAACATCTGACCCAAAATTATTTTCTAAATGTCTCACCAATGGGCACAATAAAATTAAAAAATAAAATAGTTTTAATTATTATGATGATCCAAGATAACAAAATTTTCCTCTCTTTTCCTTCTCTTCTTTTATCCAATCAATTAACTTAAGCTCTTCCTGAAGGTGTTGAGAAGTTGAGAAAATAAACAAATGGAGGATCTGTAAAGCCTCGCTTCCAAGCTTTCCTTCCCTTGAACTGCTTCCCTGAACGCTTTTGCCGCTGCTTTTTCTCATGCCCAGAACGAGCTGCTCTATCTCTTTTGGCAGCCAGAGGCATGGCCTTCTTGTGCTGTTTCTGCCGGTTGCTGAGGCCGCCGGTCTGGCATTCAAAAACCATTAAAAGTCAATTTAATCAAAATCTGTCTACTAATCTTACAACCTTGTGCAATAGATGCTTGAACAGTTAGTTAATTTCACAATTCATACATTAATAAAATATAGAGTTCAAAATAAATAGTCTGGCATGCTGATAACCTCAGTTAATGGAGTTTTTTTTACTGTTTTACAGAAATTTCATACTCCTTTTTTTTGTTGATGAGGAACCATCGGCTGGCACCCCCGAGCTAGCTTAGAGCGCTTGGTGATATGTAAACTCCGGTCAGCTTAGATGAGCTACCCACCAAAGCCCTACATGGGGTCCTGGTTGGGTACCCATGCTATACTCGGATGGGATTAGCCCACTCATGGTGACTTTCGGGATGCCGTACCCACCTATCCCACCCACTTTCTATGATTTTTGAACGCAGTCTGCAACAGATTGATGACCTTGAGGCTTGTTTCCCTTTGCTATGATTGTAAACTTTCAAGCCGCATATCAGAATTTATCGTAGTCGCAACGTGCTTAAGTGCTACACACTACGTAGTGAGAATTGCAGTAATATAAGATATACAATAATTAGCAATATAAATCGATTTATCCCCCGATGTTGAGTACCCACCCAAACCCACCGACAAGGCCACAAGCGTACCCATACCCACCGATACCCATTGGGTATAGGTGGGTACATGGGTGGGCGTGGGTATGAGTACCCAATGCAGGGCTCTGCTACCCACATCCATTAGAACTCGTGGCCAACTCTTATTGGGTCCCCCCGAAATGGACACTGCTGCCAGAGGGAATTGAACACGGGATGAGGGGTACCCAACCGTGCTCGCCCACCAACCAAGCTAGGCATCGGCGGGTATTCCATACTCCTTTAACTTAAAAAATTTACAAAATACCTCATCATAACAATTGGATGGAGAGCCCAAAAATAACTGATATTACCTACTTATTACTTATGTCAGCTTCTTGGTTTCTTGGAGCTCTCATGAGCAATTTTGTTAGATATTGTTGATTGTTGTACAGATCTCTCTTTCTCCATCAATTTTTGGCGTAGGGGTTAGTTCTACCATTCTTTCGTTCATGTATCTTTTCTTTAGCTGGTTAGCATCAGCACAAAGGTGTTTTTGTGATGAGTTCTGTTCTTGGGGCTTCGGATCTTCCTATGGAGAAGGAGCTTCCTTGTCATACGAGATTCCTAACTGATCTAATCTTTTGTAAGAAATCGATTTAGGAGAATTTTGGTCCATCCAAATCCTTCAAAGGCGTGATGTCAAGTAAGGGTTATAACTTTTCTTCTGCTGCGGTAAAGTACAACTGCTATTCTTTACACTGATGAGAAAATTAAAACTCTGCCTTCTTTTGAATTTGCGTTGGTTGATAAATTTAATTTTGGGTAACCAACAATGAAGGATATCAGAAAATTGAGTAATCTGAAATGAATCGATTTCTTTAATTTTGGTCAATTGGACAGAAAAACATATATTGGTTATGATCCTGATGGCTACTAGATTGTTTGATAGAAGAACTTTTACTCTATTTCAGGTTTTTTTATGACTCTTTTAAGTGGACTCATTATTTTGATGCTAATGTAAAATAGACAATTATTCAAGTTTGGAGTAACTCCCCATAATAAGAGTTTATTTTATGAATCATAGCACTTTGTCTTTCGTTGCTTCTATTTTTGGAAGGGCTTCGCAAATCAATTCGGCTATTTTCTCCTGATAGACCTTCTATAGCATGAGAAAAATATTTATAGTAAATTTAATAATGAAATATGGTTGGATATTGATATGTCATCAAAAAAATTATCTTGATCGGGCACGAATCTTGATGCAAATATGACTCGGAAACTTCCAAAATTAAATTTGTGACCATTCAAGCTCCAATTTTGATAAACTTATAGTCAAACTATATGTCTCAAAGAGACAAACCCAACAATACCAAAATTAATCAAATCCGAACTCAAATGGGTCCAAATCAAAGGTCTGAAACCTATTTAGAAGCTTTGGAACATTAATTGGATGACCAAATGATATCCAAATGTGACATGCTTATAGTCGAATCGAGCGGCTTGATGCGACGAATCTAACGAGCCCAAGAACGCCAAATTCTGACAACATTAAGACACTCAAATGCTCAATAAGTGATCTCCATGATCGAGGAAGTTGATATCAGTTGTCCATTAAAACACTCTCAAACATGCCCTTGATCCTCTCCATATTTACTACACATTTCATTCCAAAAATAATTATAAATAGATCCCTCATTCTTCACGAAATAGAGGGAGAAGAAAGTGATAAAAATAAAGGATCTCTCTTGCTTTCTCAAGCTTGCACCACTAGCTAGATCTCTTCCTGACCATGATCTACTCCAACCATCATTGCCCGCCGAATATGGTCCCTCCGACCACTGTCGCCCGTCGACTACGGTCTACTCCGACCATCATCCCCCGCCGACTAGAATCCTTCTGACCACCATCGCCCACCGACTACGGTCCACTCCGACCATCGTCACCTGCCGACTACGATCCTTCCGACAACCGTCGTCCGCCAACTCGATCCACTCTGACCACAATCACCCACCAACTATGGTTCACTCTAACCACCGCACTCGCCAACTACGAACCCTCTGACCTCCGTCACCAACCAATTACGATCCCTCCAATAATCTTCGCCCACCAATTAGGTCCCTCCGACAACCTTCGACCACCGACTATAGTCCCTCTAACCACTATTGCCCGCTGACTAGTTCCCTCAGACAACCTTTGCCCGCCGACTACGATCCCTCCGATCACTATCTCTTGACTATGGTCCCTCCGACCAGGCGACCATCGTCACCCTACAACGATCCCTTCGGCCATCGTCGTCCGACTACAATCCTACCAACCAAACGAGTAGGCCAACACTCTCATGCCACTGAATTCTTCCAACTCCAACTATGCATTGGATCTTCGTATAAAATTTAGATGTTAAAACTTATATCTCTACCATTGCGAATATTCAAGGATGCAATAGATATAAAAAGGTCATAAGGTGGAATTTGAGAATCTCCCTTCCTTTGGCGGGCGCTTAAAAGGAAAACCAATAATAAAGAAACATAATTATACTAATAATGTTGACATATTGTGGTTCCTGCTGGTAAAAAATGAACCCTGCTTGGGTTCCTAAAGATCCAGGTCCTCGAATAGTACATAATCAAATTTTAAAATGAGCATAGGGTGAATCATAAAGAGTCGATGAATCTTATTATGGATTCTAAATCCCTAGCATTGTCACAAGAACAGGATAATAAGCTTGCTTCTATTTTTCCTTATATAAAAAGGACAAATGTGGAAGGAGTTTCAGAGATGATGATTATTGGAAGGGTTGTGCCAAAATATGATATTTCGATGATTGCTATGTTGAAAGTAAATCTTAATTAGAATAGTTAATTTTTAAAAAATATCAAAATTTTATAATATAATGTCAATAAATTTTAAATATTTTAGAAAAAATTAATCAGTCATAACTTAGGGGTTTGGCTAAAAAAGAAATATAATATAAAAAAATGAAATGTTAAAAGAATACTTATGAGTTGTTTGAATCCGTGTAAAATGAATGTATAGATTACTTTTTCTGTTTGATTTGAAGTAAAATCAATGCAGTATAAAATTCAACGATGGTGGTGTCGAACAACAACAATGGTGATGAATTTATTGAGTATTTGAAACTCGCCCAAATTTGAGGAATTCCAAATACACCAAATTTGAACTAGAGTGAATTCCAAATGCACCAAAATTTTAGCATTTATTTTGCTTCAAACCACATACCAATATTCTCAATATCCCTACATTTAGAATAGTTTACACCCATTTTACTTCAAATCAAACAACCGCTAAAGCAAAACTCATCCACCCCCTCAACTGTTTAACAAGAGCGATGAATTTAAGGATAATATCAACTCACAAAGAGCGAATGTACAGTAAAATAATCTTCCTACCAGTAAGGACATGCCACATATCTCTACTATATTACAATCACAGCCAGAGCTCATATGTTCTTCAATGGCTAAAACATTTAAATAATGAATCATAGGATTGACTTGATTGAGCACAAACCCTCTATTATCTAAGGCTGATTTGAATTTATCCCTTGACAAATACTCACTCCAAATCTATGTGCACCATTATACGAAGCAACTCATGGCTGCCGACAATGATCATTCTATCAGGTTAGGTCAACTAGTTCCTTAAACTATGTAGACTAGAGACCATGACAATCTGGAATGATAGAACTATGGGATCTTGATTGAGTTTATCATGGAACTTAATTCCATTAAAACTCTCCTTGAATCACGCGAATAGGCCATCATGCCAGAATTTCCTGGAGCACACAAGAAGGCTTTGTTGAGAAGGATTGTGGTCATATTGGTGCTAGTCCTAAGGGTAGTCTATCTACCTTGAGTAAGAATAAGATGTGAGAAAGGCTATAGAATATTTTATTTGGTTTCTTGCCTCAACTCTACTGAGCATACCAAGTTCGAAAATCATAAGAGAGCTTCTTCTAATCATTCTCCTCTCATAGTTGAGATTTATAACTATTCTTTTAAGGGGCTGGTGAAAATTCAAAATATGTGGCTACTTCAAAAAGACTTCCTGAGCATAATTCAAGCTCAACCAGACATTTCTTATAAGAGAAAATAATCAAAATGGTCAATTGACTCTTTATGAAAATCAAAATAGTCCCTAACTATATTAATGACTATATTAAGCCATCAACTCCTTAAAGAGAACCAAAATAGCCCCATCATGGACTATTTTGATTCCTTTTTAAATACATGAGGTCAAAATGATCATTTTGGTCCATCATAAAGAGTCAATTGACTATTTTGATCATTTTCTCTTTATCATAGTGGTTCAACTCTTGCTATCCTTCCGCAAGAATTAAAAATGTTGAAATTATTCTTAAAGGATTGGAATAAAGTATCTTTCACAATGTGTTTCAGAATTTAAGGAATTGTGAAAATGATCACTTTTTTAATTAAAGTTTATAAATTCAGTTTGCCCTACTAATAAAGCTAATCTTATGGTTGTTCAATATAAACTCTTTCATATTCAATAATATTATGAAGAATTTTGAAGGCAAATGGCTGATTTAAACAAGCTTCAAGATGGTGATAGAAACATTATGAGTTTCCATGTTATTGTAAATATAAAGCGAAATAAGATCAAGATTCTAATCAAAATTTTATAATATAATGTCAATAAATTTTAAATATTTTAGAAAAAATTAATCAGTCATAACTTAGGGGTTTGGCTAAAAAAGAAATATAATATAAAAAAAAATGAAATGTTAAAAGAATACTTATGACTTGTTTGAATGCGTGTAAAATGAATGTATAGATTACTTTTTCTGTTTGATTTGAAGTAAAATCAATGCAGTATAAAATTCAACGATGGTGGTGTCGAACAACAACAATGGTGATGAATTTATTGAGTATTTGAAACTCGCCCAAATTTGAGGAATTCCAAATACACCAAATTTGAACTAGAGTGAATTCCAAATGCACCAAAATTTTAGCATTTATTTTGCTTGAAACCACATACCAATATTCTCAATATCCCTACATTTAGAATAGTTTACACCCATTTTACTTCAAATCAAACAACCGCTAAAGCAAAACTCATCCACCCCCCTCAACTGTTTAACAAGAGCGATGAATTTAAGGATAATATCAACTCACAAAGAGCGAATGTACAGTAAAATAATCTTCCTACCAGTAAGGACATGCCACATATCTCTACTATATTACAATCACAGTCAGAGCTCATATGTTCTTCAATGGCTAAAACATTTAAATAATGAATCATAGGATTGACTTGATTGAGCACAAACCCTCTATTATCTAAGGCTGATTTGAATTTATCCCTTGACAAATACTCACTCCAAATCTATGTGCACCATTATACGAAGCAACTCATGGCTGCCGACAATGATCATTCTATCAGGTTAGGTCAACTAGTTCCTTAAACTATGTAGACTAGAGACCATGACAATCTGGAATGATAGAACTATGGGATCTTGATTGAGTTTATCATGGAACTTAATTCCATTAAAACTCTCCTTGAATCACGCGAATAGGCCATGGTGCCAGAATTTCCTGGAGCACACAAGAAGGCTTTGTTGAGAAGGATTGTGGTCATATTGGTGCTAGTCCTAAGGGTAGTCTATCTACCTTGAGTAAGAATAAGATGTGAGAAAGGCTATAGAATATTTTATTTGGTTTCTTGCCTCAACTCTACTGAGCATACCAAGTTCGAAAATCATAAGAGAGCTTCTTCTAATCATTCTCCTCTCATAGTTGAGATTTATAACTATTCTTTTAAGGGGCTGGTGAAAATTCAAAATATGTAGCTACTTCAAAAAGACTTCCAGAGTATAATTCAAGCTCAATGAGACATTTCTTATGAGAGAAAATAATCAAAATGGTCAATTGACTCTTTATGAAAATCAAAATAGTCCCTAACTATATTAATGACTATATTAAGTCATCAACTCCTTAAAGAGGAACCAAAATAGCCCCATCATGGACTATTTTGATTCCTTTTTAAATACATGAGGTCAAAATGATCATTTTGGTCCATCATAAAGAGTCAATTGACTATTTTGATCATTTTCTCTTTATCATAGTGGTTCAACTCTTGCTATCCTTCCGCAAGAATTAAAAATGTTGAAATTATTCTTAAAGGATAGGAATAAAGTATCTTTCACAATGTGTTTCAGAATTTAAGGAATTGTGAAAATGATCACTTTTTTAATTAAAGTTTATAAATTCAGTTTGCCCTATTAATAAAGCTAATCTTATGGTTGCTCAATATAAACTCTTTCATATTCAATATTATGAGGATTTTGAAGGTAAATGGCTGGTTTAAAGAAGGTTCAAGATGGTGATAGAAACATTATGCGTTTCCATTTTTTTGTAAACATAAAGAGAAATAAGATAAAGATTCTAAAATTTCAAAATCATGAGGGTATTTGGATTGATGATTCTAAAATAATTAAATAATTGACCGCTAATTTCTTTTCCAATTCACCATATCAAGAAAACGATTACGTTGATTTACCTAATTGCGATGCTATTCCTAATTGTGTTTCAAATAATGTGTCCTTGACTAAAGTGCCTATGGTATGAAATTAAATAAGCTATCATAGGTATCGATGTGGATTCTACTGCTAGCCCTAATGGTTTTTAGTTTATTTAGGAGCTTCTAGATTATGTTTATCATTATCTTATTACTTTAGTTGATTCCTCCTTAATTGGCATAGTTGTGGGATTCCACGTGAGAGGTTGTGGAGTATTCATTTTGAATGATGTTACCTCCAGTGGATGTAATGAAAAAATAAGAAATTCTCTTACTATTCTACTTTATTACAGCTAAAATATTCTTACTCAAATCAAAGTAAATACCCCAAGGGGAAAGGTTGGTACTCTCTTCTCATGAGCTTATTCTCTTTAACATAAATTATATTCTCTTGAATTCAAGTTCATAAACTAACTTTAAGTAGTATTAAAGTGTCTTACTGGGGGCAAATTCCAAGGATAGACTCACCATTTCTTGATGATACTGTGCATGAAGTAAACTTACACTAAAGATAGTGTCTTTCGAAAATGTCAATTAGCCTAACATTTTTTTTGGCATGAAACAACTGCCATACAGGTTTCTATGTAGAAAGATAATCAGAAGAACGAAATAAGATGTAGCTAAACAACTATGGTCTTTCAATTCTAAGGGAGGTTAGAGACAATGCTTGCTAGCAAGAACTCTCACCGTAAATGGAGCTATATTAAATAGTAAATATTAAGAATGTAAAGCCTTTTGAACCTTCAATGGTCGATGATAGGTGTGAAGAAATACATTTTACGGATGATTTACTCTTGGAGCATGTAATACCTTTAGAAGTGAATGTTATCTTGAAGCAAAATACTACCACCACAAGACATAATCCAAAAGATGCATTATGAAACGATAAGAAAGGTTATTTACCAAGCAAAACAAAATATACTTTAGGAAGCTGAAAGGGTAGCCTCACTCAACTGGAATTTTAATTTCACAGAAGTAAAATCCTCATAAAAGGAAATCATAAAGGGGATGATCAATCTAACGATTCACCTTAAAGAAGACTACAAGAAGAAACATCATACTTGAGAATTAAAACATGAAAGGGTCGGGAGATAAGATCAATTGATTAAAAATAGTCCAATTTCTTGATGAAGGCTACTAACAATGCTGATTCTCATGCCAAACCATTAAATCGAAAAGATAGTCAACAGGATACCATGGGCAAAATAGATCACTAATCTGGCATCATACGAGGGAGATAAAGACTTGAAACCAAGACTATTGGATTAATATTCATAATAGATCAGTATAAGGATGATTTTTAACTTATAAACTTGCTTGGATAAACATGCTTTTAAATTTTAACTATAGTATTAGAATAAATTATAGTGGAATTATATTTTAGTTTAAACTATCTAATTTGTTATTTGTAGATATGGCTCCCTCTTCTATGGAGGTAGTTTAAGATTTAATAAGATATTATTCCTTGTTATAATGTTCTATAAAGGCCTAATTTGAGGAATAAATTTGGTTTGATCTCTCCTAAAATCTCTCTTTTCTCTCCCTCTCCTCCTATCGATGGGCCTCCAACAGCCCTAAAAGCTATCATGTCCTCCCTCTACCACCGCCTCCATCGTCCTCTCACTACCATCCGATACTTCAAGGTGGTGGCGTGACCTGCAAACAATAATATTACAGTTATTCATATGGGAAAACCGCAAGTTAACTAGTTTTCTAGAGGAGAACCTAAGAATAGACAGAGCTTACTATCTAAAATAAGAAAACTCAATTGAGGTAACCTTAATTTAAATCCTAAGTCATCAGGGCTCCTCTCAAAAGAAGTATTATAACCCTTCCTAACCATTCTAACATCTCAGTGTGGGCTTACACAATAACATTGAGAGATTGACCACATATCCTTTAAAAGCTATGTGATCCAAAAAATTATTTGTTTTATCAACTTCATCCAACCAAAATGCATAAGCACGTAAACACACAAAGATGCAACACTTTTAAGGTACTACCAGAGCATTTTCCTAGTTCACTACATCTTAAAACAAATTGAAAACATAATATCGGAGCATTAAAAAGAAATATTTTGCTTTTATTAAAATGATCAAGGAGAAAAACATTGAAAAATAGATCCAATTACAACATGCGACCACCGTTGGAAATGTTGAAAGTGAATATGTCAGAAAAAACATAAAAATTTTCATAGATCATACCTTTTTCTGTTTCACAGCAGCTCTGGCCTGGTACTGTCCTCTGTCTTCTCTGCCTGCTCTAACCAGGGCTA